ACGGATGAACCGAATCGAAAAATCGATTTCACATAATTCGGTTTCGATTTCGGTTTAAATTTAAAAAAACCATTTATTTTAATTCGGTTCCATTTTTAATAAAAAATCGAACCGAACCGAATACACCCTAGTTATGGGCTGATTAAGAAAATAACAGCTTGTAATGTAAAGGATAAACAGACGGATGTCAGAACTAAGTACGAAAATGGAATGGTTCGAATTTATGCAAATAGATATCATCACAGTATCACCAAACGACAACCTTATTTCCTCGGACCCATGTACTGTTCAGGTGACTCTTGTCTCTTATACTCGATCTTTTTTCTCTTTTTAGTTATATATTATTTTTATGCCTATACTTAAATATGTATTAAATTCAAATGTGATGTTATATTTTTCCTCGTAAAAATATTTTAATAATTAAATTTATATAAAACCCAAATAATATTTTAAAGTTATTTATATTTTTTATTTTTAATTAATCAAATCTTACTTTAATTTACATAGATGCTAACACACTACTTGTGAAGATTTAATTTCAAACATATTTAATTAATCAAATCTTATTTTAAAGTTATTTCTCTTTTTTATTTTAATATTTGATACCTTAATGATTACAATGGTGATTTGAATATGGGACCTCGAATATACTTTACCTGAAATTGATTAGGTCATGGGCTTTTATCTGATTTTAACATTGGGTCAAAAATATAAGGAAATTGTTGTTCGATGGGATTCTCTGTCCCAAATGTGCCCTACGACGTCAATCGTATGGATTGGGGACAGGCGACCTGTCCATTTCCTCACGCCATTTGTCACACGTCAAAGTAAGCTTATCAACTCTTCAAATTACGACACTTTGCTGATGCTGTCATTTTGATTTTATATTTTCTATATGTGATATTATTAACGATTAGAAGAGAAGAAAAAAATGTTTTTAGGCGGAGATTCCTGCCCTTGTTTGGAGCGGCAGGATGAGCGTATTGCGGGTATTTAAATGGTTTCGGGTCCAAAGTACTTGTACAAGGCCCATTTCGTCATTTCAAGGGTTTGAAAGCTCCCCTCAATTATTTTTGCATTTATTATTAGTATGACAAATTTGATTTAAATCAATATTTAATATATATATTTAAATATGAATCTAAATTTTATTTGAAACCTAAAATAAATTAAATGGAATCAAAATTTATTTAAATCAAATATTAATATATTAGTATATCCAAATGTCAATCATACGATGATTACAATGATATATTTTTTTTACTAGTTTTATTGAATAAGAACATTACCATTATTAATTTCAGTTATATTTATATGTCTCCGATAAATTGAAAATAATAAATTTCATATAATAATATGATCATTAATAAATAATATGTTGTTGATTGGTGATAATGAGTTGTCATTGACATAAAGATGTCAAAATTAATGCATGAGTTTGTTGTTAGAGAGACATATTGGATTAATCCACTACAAACATATGTCTTATATGTCTTTGATTATTATTTGATGATCACAACATTACTCATGATGATGACTATACGTATGATCCTCAGACTTGAGATCATTATTATATTAACATATATTGTTGTATGTTTTGATATAGTTATAAATGGTCCGTAACTGGTTGTATTATAAAAACTGATATTGAACATGTCACAATATATGTAGTAGAGTGTGAATGATTAAGATAGGATTTGTCATTCTTACATAATAGGAAATATATTACAAACCACTTGATTGAGTGAGATTAGAAATGCATGGATATGCTCAAATAAGTTGATATGAGATATCACAAATTATTCGTTAATTATAGTTTACTTTAGATATCAAATAATAATAGATGGGTTATACAAGTATGACTATTCTAATACTTGTGTCTGTTTTAGATATAAATGACAAAAGGATATAATACATTAAAAGAGTTATCACGAATATTATGTCGAATCATGACTTCCTATAGCTTAGGTGACAGTGATATTACTAGATGTCACTAATTATTTGTAATATTAAAATGATTTTAATAATTATTACTAATTTTACAGGAACCTACAGAGTCGTACCCTAGGGTTGAAAAGAACAATTTATAAATGAGTTACACATGAACAATTTTATTGTACATGAATCAAAGTATAATTAATATTAATATATATATATATTCATATATGTGTAATTTTAATTATACATAAAATACTAAATTTATATTAAAATAATATAATTAGACAATTATAATACTTTTATTAAATTCGGAATAAAACCCTAAGAGTTAGGACAAAATGTTATAAATAGAATATGATGGTCTAGCAGCTGCTTGAATCTTTCAAACAAAATATTTTAAAATAGTTTTTGAGAGAAAAAAAGTACTCTCAATCGGGGAATTGAGTAGAGGTCGAGATATTTTCGTAGAGGCTTAGGATTTGAACTATTCGTGACTACACTGTCGTATTGGTGTTTTTTTAAGAACTTAAGGTAAATCAGACATCCCTTTCTCTCGATTTTGATTTTCGTATATGGGTCACCTATGAAACCGTCGGATAAATTTTTCACTGTGTCATGGAATGTATCGACGATCCCAACAATAATAAATTTTATTTTTTTAATATTTGAAAGAAGAAATATTTTTAATTTAGTTTCAAAACATAAATTAAATGTCGTATTTATTAACGAATCAAATATATAATTCGTAAAATTCGCCCTTTTGTGATTTCCTATATTTATTATATTAAAAAGTAACGAGGATTCTCTTTTATTTTCTATTTGTCCTTTTATTTTAAAATAAATTGAAAAATGAAGGGCGGGGATTCGTCTCGTGCTTTCAGGATTGAACTAATCCAACGGTTTCTAAAAACCAGTCATGCGACAGGTGGCCACATCAAATCACATCCAAGTGTAGTGAGAGACGAACATATTGTCCCTGTCGTAATAGCGCCACGTGCCCTAACTAAACGACATACATTAGCCGCTTTTACTCTTCCACTGCTTTTCCTGTTTAGCCCCCATAGAGTCTTCCGTTTTACTTTAACACCCCCAACTTAACCCATTTTTGAACCAACAGAAGAAACAGTCGTTGTTTTGTGGATCCGTCTTTTACTCATCCACTTTGCTGATTTTAACCCTTAACCTTTTACCACTTTGCCATATTTTTTTGACGAAATGACCATCCTACCCACACAAGTTTCTCATGATTCTAGACTCTAGTACATGTATGCAGGAATTCTAGACATTTCTACATAAAGTAGACCGAATTACAAGTAAAAAATATATAAATTGTTTTCAATTTTAAAAGATAATTTCCGAGTACGATAAAGTAAACATCATAGCCTTTTACCACTTTACCATACCTTTTTTTTTTCTGATGAAATGACAATCCTACCCACACACGTTTCTCATGATTATATACTCTATCTAGTACATGTATGCATGAATTCTAGACATTTCTACATAAATTCCAAATTATCCTTTTAATTTTTTTATGGAGATCATACTATCAAGAAATTACGTATATAAGATATGTATGTGTTGTCAATAATCGATAGTTAACAAAGATTCTAAACGAATAACACCTTATAATTAGTGGCGGATTCAGAAATTTAAAAACGAGGTCTAAAAATTTTAATACTCTTCTATTTAATATAATGAGAATGCAAAATTTCTTATTTTTTTCTTATTTTTCTAATATATTTAACTATACTAAATATCTAGTCTAAAATAATATATATACATCTGACCCCTATGTGGCCATATACATCCGTCTCGGCTTATAACCAACCTAAAACTTTAAAAAGAAAAAAAATATTATATTACTATATAAAACCTTTTAAATTAATTGTATCTCAATTTTAGTTTTTTCACAATATTAATATATTTTAAAATTAATTACATATTTAAAAAATTAATAATAAAATTTATGTATATTTATAAATGATATTAATATCATTTTATTTTTAGCTGATATTAAAACTGAAATTTGTTTGGGATATTTTTTTGAAAACAAAATAATATATAGGATAAACCCATTCTGTGTATAAAAAATACAACAAATTTATAATTTTATTATCGTTCTATATCTATATTTATTATAAAGCATACAATTGAATAGATGTAAGAAATCAATTTGACATGAATTCAGCAGAGAAATAATTAAAACAACAATACTTAATATTAATTCAATGATTTTATTATCTTTGCTTATTTTATACAAATATTTAAATAAACAATTAAAATTATTACTTAAGATCTGAATTTATAATCAATTTTTTATGCTTAATTTTTTTTATTAATATGAGTAAGATAGTATATGTTTAAAGATAATTATCAATATTTTAACATTGAACGCTCAAACATCTGATATTAGTGCTCGAAATTGAATATTAAAAAAATAACAATAATTCATTTATTATGGAGACCACTTGATTCGTGCATGTATAAGTATTTTATCTATACACTTATAATCATTAATCATATTGATCTTTACAAATAAATATATTTATATAAATATTTATTTCTTATTTATATTAAAAAATGTATGCTTAAATTCTATCTCTCTTGATAACACTATTTCAATTATGAATTATGACTATTTAAATTATTGTTTTAATATAATTTCCTAAAAATATTTATTTATACATTTATAAGTAATTAAAATTAATTGTATTTAAGAATATATTTTAAAAACAAAATATTTTATTAAAAATAAACAGCATTCACACCTATCTAAAAAACTGGTAATATCAATTTTTTATTAAATAATAAAAGAATAATAGTCAAAGAGCAGCAAGAAATTTCCAACTGGCACCTTATCTTCAAGTTCCTATACGTGGCATCATGCTCTAACCTATTCTAAAGAACCGGACCGGGTTCACTGTTTGACACGCTCCCATCAAATCAATGGGTTCAATCGTCCGCCACGTAGGATTTTAACGTGACCGTAAAAATATCGTCAGCAATGATAACTGGCCTTTTATAATGCCCTCCACCGCCAATGCCAAACGAATAAACAACACTTCCACCTCCATTTTCACGCTTTCTCTGCAACACTTTTATTTCATCGTTTTTCTTAAATACCGTTATTACCCCGGCGATTGTTCATCGGAAAACCGAATAGGCTCGTCGGAGAAATAAAGATGGAGCCACTGGTCACTGATGATAGTCGCGTGAATTTCCAAGGTGATCTCTTTACATTCTCGTGCCGTCGCGTATTTCGGGAACTTTAACCGTATCTGAAAAGAAATTTAAAACCTTTAAGCAAAAACAACTTAGATTTAGAAGAGTTTTGAAGTCATTTGAAACTTTTTTCGGCAAAAATAGAGGCAAATTAGTAAATAATAATCAGGCTTGTGACTCGAGTCTTGGTGAATAGCATTGATTTTTGGCCATCTACTTAAGATTTTACGAATTTCTGTGTTGATTGCGTTTGACTGATCTCATCACAAAGCCATACGTCTTACCGTTATTGAAGCGGAGAATCAAAAAGAGTTTGAAGTGTTGTCGGGGTACCGGTGGAAGCAAAAGAGGGGTTTTGTTTTGTTTTGTTTTTGTTTACATTTCTTTTTACCAGAGCTGAGAAATATGCCTTTCCCAATGAAGATCCAACCTATCGATTTCAGCCCTTCAGAATTGGTAGCACCGCCTCGTTTGGAGACGGTAAAACCGGTGGTGAAATCCCGGTTAAAGAGGTTGTTCGAGCGCCCGTTTCCTAGCGTTCTGAGGAATTCCTCGGCGGAGAAGGTGGATGCCGTTGCAGCCGATGAGCTGCCTTTCAGTAAAGAATGCGCGACGGAGTTCGAGCCGAACTCCGTTTGCTTGGCGAAGATGGTGCAAAATTTCATCGAAGAGAACAACGAGAAACATCAATCTGGTGCGGTTAGGTGTAATCGTAACCGCCCTAAATGCTTCAATCGTAACTGCAACGAAAGCTCCGAAGACGAAATGGATGGCTTCGGTTTCAGTGACTCCAGTCTCACTTCTTCGGCTGAAACATCTGAAGTTCTAAAGGTAAAGCAATAATTCTTCCTTGTTCAAAACAGTTTTTTGTTGTTGTTGTAAGCGATATCATATATTTCTAATTTGTTTTTATCCTTTTTCATTTTTCATGGAATAGAGTTTGGTTCCTTGTGGGAGTGTGAATGAAAGGAATTTGCAAGCTTACACAGCGAAGATTATGGAGAATAACAAAATTTCTAAACGAAAAGATGATTTCTGCAGGAGGATTGTTACTGATGGGTTACTGGCTGTTGGATACGATGCTTCTATTTGCAAATCTCGTTGGGAAAAATCTCCCTCTTATCCCGCCGGTAATTTCTCTCTCTCGACTTTTTTTCTAGAAACATCTCTATAAATCTGGGAAAGTTGTGCTATCCATTTCTCTCTGTTGTGGTTTGAATTTACAATTTTTTTAGATTACTGAAATGACAATAGCTTGTTATTTTAACAAGCAGGGGAATATGAATACATTGATGTGATGATTGACGGGGAGAGATTGGTGATCGACATTGATTTCCGATCAGAATTTGAAATTGCCCGCTCAACAAAGACATACAAATCAATCCTTCAAATGCTTCCCTGCATCTTTGTAGGCAAAGCTGATCGTCTCCAGAAGATAATTGCTATTGTTTCCGAGGCCGCTAAGCAGAGCCTGAGGAAGAAGGGAATGCATGTTCCTCCATGGCGCAAAGCTGAGTATATCAGCGCCAAGTGGCTCTCTCCTTGTAACCGAGCAACACCTTCACTTGCTCCTGCATCCACGCCTGCACCCACAATTGGGATACTTAAATATTCTGAATTCGATGCCAAAACCAAGGATAAAGACCAACCTATTATCGAATTGATTTCCGATGATAAAAACTCGGTTGAAGATGATGAGTTGGGCGAGTCCATATTTTTTTTGTCTGAGAGCTCTGAGGACGAAGGGGAGGAAAAGGTGGAGAAAGATGAGTGGAAGCCACCTGAATCAAAACCCAAGAGCTCACAGACTGGGATTAAGATCGTGACCGGTTTAGCTTCAGTAATGGAAGATGAACCAAGAGAATTTTGACTGATCATTTTCCCCCCCTGTTTTCCCATTTGGGATATTACAGAACCAAATACTATGGTTAACTGCTTAAATCCCCTTCTGTTTTTTATATGTAAGGGTTGATCTCTGATTTTTACAATTAATATGAAATCAGATTGTTATATAAATGGATAAACAAGACAAGCTAGAATTTTGTTCTTGAGCTGGTTGCCCTTTCTTCTTTCATCTTGAAACCGAGTGTAGGTCTCTTAATTCTTATCTCATATTCTTCATCTTTGAACTGTAGAGTCAGAACAAACAGGAACAAAAGGTAGAGACCCATCACTTGTGCTTTGCCTTATTTTTTATGCTTATTATAGTTTACCAGTTTGTGATATTGAATAATGTTTTCTCTTAGGTACTGAATTTTATGATGGAAGGAGCTGGCTCGTGCGTTCTCTAGCGCTGTGAAATTGAGGTTAGGAGGCCTAAGGCAGTAAGCTATTCTTTAATGGCTTCAACTGATAATACCTCCCCCCCTACTAGGTATTTTGTTAATGGCATTAAGTAATCTTGCCCTGCCTACGTGATTGGGATTGAATTGATCTTGTTCATGGTTTTGGTGTAGCCTGAACATTGAAATACCTCTATGTTACCATTGTCTTCATTATGATCCACGGTTTTGGCTGAAGTGTTAATAATATATTCCCATTCCCATCTTACGTTTGCTTAGCGAATGACATGGGACCGAGCCCGAAAGTTCAATAATTCTAATTACGACTACTACGTCAGTTTCAGATAAAGCCTGTGAGGTTTGGGAAGAACTCTAGATGTTGGTTTCTCAGTGGACATTTTGTTATATACAAAAACTCGGATTTGAAACTTGTTTAAGTGATATCAACTTAAATGGGTTGAATTTTGGAATGCAGCGACTTGAACAAGTTCACAGGGCTTCCTTGATTTCAATTTCAATTGATTACAACATCAAAAGCTTTGAACTTTTTTTAGCATTTCTTTAAAGATATTCGAGTTTTGGGCATCCCACCTATTGAGATCACTCTTTTGGTTCCAAAAGTTTTGAATTCTTTTTGTATTGGATTAAGCATCTCCATTAGCCTCTGATGCATATAATATATTTTATGAAAATGTTACATTTGTCGCCTTATCCACCGAAAGTTAAAACTAAATCAACTCGCTCGCATCGGTTTCAATGAAATCTCTTCTTCTCTCAAGTTAAAGCGTTTATTCTTGTACCGCGCATATGATTTCTGACTATATGCTCCCCCTAATGTGCGCCAAAACTTGTCGTTTCTTTGCCTCGGAGGTCCACCATGGTATCTTGAGAACTGCAGTTCAGAACAAACAATTTAATAATATGTCTGATATATCATATATGATTATCACATGCTTCATAAACTGACACTTAATTGAAAGGAAAAAAGGTGAATGTTTCCCAGAAGTCTATTAACAAAAAGAAGCATAATCATAAAAAAAATGTGGTAATCTTACAATTTAATTTTTCTTTCAACCTGTGAGCTTTAGATAAATAATTAATCATGAATATTTTTGTAAATTCAAAATAATTTAAGGATAAAAATATTAATTAGCGCTTTTTTTTATCTGTTTTCTTCCCAGCACTATCTTCTCCTGCCTCGGTGCTCGAATGCAACAAGTAAATCCTCATTTGATGTTGCGAAGATAAATCGTGTTCGGGTCGTCTTTTCCTTCGTATACTACCTTCTTCGACTTTAGATATCTCTACGGAAGACTCTTGCTTGGCCGGAAACATTGGGTTCACTTGGCTCAGTTCCTAGTTGTTTGTAGGAACTCAGTTTCACCTCTCCGCTCGGTTCATTTGGCTCTCAATGTCATCCAATTGCTCACCTTGAGCTTGAACCAGCACTGCCATGTCCATGAAAAATTGGTGTAATTCCTTGAGATGGCTCTCAAAATTCTTGAATCTCACACTCCCCTACAGAATGTCGACACAAAACAGGTTCCCAAATGTTGTTCATATTTTCTCTTGCACAAGATATGCAATACATCTCTCTCAAACACCCAATGCTTTATACTTACAATTTGCAAGTTCAATTGTTAATTAAACATATAAAAGAAATTCGATCTCTCTATATATGTTTGCAAAATCTTCAGATTGCAGTCAAAATTTTCATACAACTATTTCATATGTACTAAATAGGGTGAACTAACCTGTTGAAATCAAAAGATCACGAGTCTTTTTATCTGGGTTTTCTCCTGTAACCGTAAAATATCTTCTCTGAACAGTATCTCTGTACTCAGATGAGATCCTGTGTCTCAATTCATTGAAATTTTTCATAGAACCTTTCAACTTCTTTCTCAACCCGTTCAAAATCGAAGTCCTCGTCCGGTCGGAGGAAGTGCGCTTAGGGTGTGGGATTTTTTAAGGCTCCGCCGTGATCTACCTTGGTGTGACTGTCTTTGGTTGAAGTACGCTTAGGGGTGGAATTTTTTAAGGCTCCGCCGTGATTTGGTGGCTCGAAGCAGAACGAGTGACGGTGGTGGGTTGTTCTGTTGAGGGAATTGGGAGGGAAGAGCAAGAAAGGGGTGTGCGACGGCGCAAGTGGGGAAGCTAGGGAAGAAGAAAAGTATATTAAAAGAGGGTAAATTATAACTTTATCCCTAAATTACTTTGAATTTATAAAATTGACCCTAACTAGTATTTTATTTAAAAAATTCAAGGCTGAAAGTAAAAATTAAACCTTTTTACTAATGTACCACATCAGAAAATCGTTAAAGGTTTAACGGCCGTTTATATTAAATGATCACGTCTTAATTAAAATGGAACAAAAATTACTAAATATTAACCTTTTTAGATCGAGTAATCATACGTTTATAAAAATAAAACAAAATTAATCAACTCTCTAGTTCACTATTTTTATAAAAGAAGTGTTTTTATCCCAAAGAAATGCTTTTACATTGATTGTTGCATTGTACTTTATACGATTTTGACCAATTTTTTTGGATTTACGAGAATGACCAACAAAATCGCAATGCGATCTATAATTCGCATTGCGATCTCCACTATCGCAAATTCGCGTTGCGATAGTTGGAAATCGCGTTGCGCTTTTCCATTTCGCGTTGCGATAGTTGAAAATCGCGTTGCGATAGTCTACAGTTGTCGTTGCGATTTTCCAAATTCGTTGTGATAGTTAAAAAAAAGATTTTGTTTCTTAAGAATTTTCTCTAAAAAGATAGTATCCGCACGGACGTGTCGAAGACACGTATTACCACGACCACGACCACGACCACGACCCGAGACTAGACTAGACGAGACGAGACGAGACGGACGACGGCGGCGGCGCGCGAGAGTCCCCCTTGTTCTCTATCACTCAACAAGAAAGTGGGAAAACCAAGCCTTAAATACCATTCCCAATAGTGTTTCCAATACTATGTGGGATTGAGCATTACCAACATTTGTTTCTAATACAATGTGATTATTCAGGAAACAATTAACAATCATGCACCTTAAAAAAATTGAATCAGCAACCAATTGCATTAGTATTATACGATTAAATATGTCATAATTAAAAGTCAATCTACAATCAATCGCGATTATTGTAATTTTAAGCAAAACATTCAAAAATAAAATCACTATTTAAGGCTCAATCCCACATGGGAACAAGTGTTGGTAATGCTCAAATCCCACATAGTATTGGAAACACTATTGGGAATGGTATTTAAGGCTTGGTTTTCCTACTTTCTTGTTGAGTGATAGAGAACAAGGGGGACTCTCGCGCGCCGCCGCCGCCGTCCGTCTCGTCTTGTCTCGGGTCGGGGTCGTGGTCGTGGTCGTGGTAATACGTGTCTTCGACACGTCCGCGCAGATACTATCTTTTTAGAGAAAATTCTTAAGAAACAAAATCTTTTTTTTAAACTATCACAACGAATTTTCGCAACGAATTTGGAAAATCGCAACGACAACTGTAGACTATAGCAACGAATTTGGAAAATCGCAACGAAATGAAAAATCGCAACGCGATTTTCAACTACCGCAACGCGAATTTGCGATAGTGGAGATCGCAATGCGAATTAGAGATCGCATTGCGATTTTGTTTGTCATTTTCGCAAATCCAAAAAAAGTTGGTCAAAATCGTATATTATCTGAGATTTTTGGTCACTAAGGTTATTTTCTCTCTTTAAGTTAATGCCTACTCTGTTATACGTGTATAGATGTATATGCATGCAACATGATTCGATAGCTTAGCGGGCGTTTGGTTGGGGGAATGTAAAATCTACGTTCCCTAGTTTGGTTAGCTGAAAATTACATTCCCGATAATGTAAGGTTATCAATAGTAAATTTTTTTAAAATATATTACCAGGAATGTCATTACCTCCATTTCCTTAGGTATTATTAGATTATCGACATTTTATACTAAAATGCTCTTAATTTTTTTCCCCAAAAATATCATTATTCTTTCATTGAATAATAAACATTATACGAAGGTTAAATAACAAATTTATCCATAAACTATTTTAGATTTACAAAAAAAATATATAATTAAAATTTTATATGGAGTTCAGGGGTTAAAATAAAATTTTACCCTTTCATTAAAAATTTTTATATTTTCAATTTTGTAAAAAAATATAAATTTTATGAATTTAATTTTTTTAAAGAAAATATATAAATATTTTTCAACTTGTTAAAAAAACAAATATATAATAAGGATAATTTGATCCAATATACATTCCAATAATCTTTTATTCCTTTAACTAAACACGGTAATCTTACATTCCTACTAAACCAACCAAACACAAAATACAACATTACCAATAATCATATTCCTGGTAATCTTACATTCCCATTGGTAATCTTATATTTCGTGAACCAAACGCATTAGGATCATAAAAAAGTTTCAAAACAGTGGGGACCGCCCGACGACCCGGCCACGCCTTCGCAACGGCTAACGTCGGTGAATTTGATTTAAGTGAGATCAGAGTTGAATCGAGAGCTTTTATTTTTGTTGGCCATCAAAATGCCAACATTGTTTCCTTTACATGAGTTCCTCTCGAGTTCTGAGATGATTTTATTGATTGACTACTTGAAAATTATTATTGTTTGTTGATAAATCGGGCAAAGTAAACGAAAGAACACAAGAATTTTAACGAGGTTCGATAATGTGCTTACGTCCTCGGTGCTTAGGCGGCGCTAGAAAATTTTTATTCAATTCTCATAGGTTTAGGTTACATCTCTATTTATAATAGAAAACCCTGGTACATAATTACAAAATTAACCCTGTACCGTACCGCGAGGCGCAGCCCCCGCACCCCCAACCCACATAATCGTAACCCCCTCTACGAGACTTTCTTTGTAAGGACAGTTGATGTTCGTTGCGTTCGCTTCGCTCACTCCGCTCCATCCCCTGTCCTCTTTACCGGTATATTTATGAGCCATACCTTACATTGTTACATGATATTGAAACCTCCCCAAGCCCTTCTAAATACACGTTGTTATTTATCATGCACGCGGACATTGTTTGAATCAACTCGTTTAATGTAATTCTTAATAGAAAATTTTTAAACATAGTTTGAATAATATAAATTGGTGAAACATGGCATAGTGGTAGGCTGATTTGTTTCCAAATCCTAAACTTAACCTTAACTTACTCGCCACAGTCTGGTAATTTTAAAATTTATTTTTTTAAATATTATTATATTTATAAAAAATATTAATTTCTCTTAAATTATAAAAACCCTAAAATCTTCAAATCCTAACCTTAA